CGGAGGTTACAAGGGGAGAAGGAGAAGGAGACTTACGTGCTGTGTCCTTAAGCTGGAGCAGGTCCTTTATCTTTGGTTGCCTAAAAGTCATCGCAGCCTTGTCTTGTTTGGGGTTTCCTCTCGGCTGGATTTCCGGTTTATGCCTCCTTTTAATCTTTCTTTTCAAATTCTTTTTTGCTCCTGCTTTATAATTTTGCATCCTTGATTGCTGTTTGAAGTTAGGATAGCACACTAATGACTAAAACAGCTTGAATAAAACTAAATAAAAGCACTAAAATGAGTAGAAGTTCAAGAGCTCTTTACAGAGCTGTCACTCTATCGTCATCTTGGATCCCATCCATCCTGTTATGTGTTTAACTAAACGTGGCCAAGCACAATAACAGAGATAATTCAATGGAATAGGTAGAAGATACACAATCGGGAAGACAGACATTTACTAATCTAATAAATTAGTCTCAGCTCTAATGCATTGATACATTTGTTCTTATACATTTTGATACATTAGTCCCAATTCCCAAACAGTACAACACAGGATCCATACTCAAGTTGATATGGTCTTCTCATTTTTTGGACTAATGGCCCCAAATCACTGCTCATGATGTTCACGAACACACATTTTCAGAAGATAAAGTAGTGACCCTTCTCACCACACCATATGCTTTAATTCTTATCTCAAATTTACTTGTTCATGGGGGAGAAAGTAGAATCACTTCTAAACCATGCACAAATGCAAGCACCGTTCATTTTTATTTTCAAAGATCATCTTTTCAATATCAGCTTCTCATTTAAAAGAGCTTTTAAAACTTAAATGTCAGGTGGGGCAGAGAGCTTGGTGGATGCTGAGAGGTCTCTTGGATAGGCTGGTATCCATAGGCACAGGTGCAGGACTACAGGGATGGTCAGGGATGATACAGCTTTCCATCTTTGAACAAGTAAGTGATGGCCTGTGATTGATTCATGCTTGAAATGAGGATCATGATCTGTGAAAATTGAATCCATCATCTCTCGTGCTGGGTTCAGGGAACTAATGCTGCCATGCAATTTCTGTGTTCTCCTTGTTGAACTAAGATCATTCTTTCACAGTGAAGTTTCTAGTATTGGTGGAACTTTGTTCCACATAAGTATGTTCATTAACAACATTTTAGTTACATTCTTATTTATGACAGAGATTGAATTTCATATTATTTTAGAGATGAAAAATAATCAAGGAAATTACAATAAAAAAGTAATCTTTATTATTTTTGCAGATTGGTAATTATGTATAACATTATTGAGGATATTAGTAGCATTTCCTGCATGCAGTTCAACAATACAATATAAGTTGATAGTTTATTAAAAGAAAGCATCTATATTTAACATATCTCATATAAGAAACAAAATTTCTGGATGTATTTGGTTATATAATTTTGCTATTCTTTTCTGTGAAAAAATACTGATATATTTGCAATGATTCTATTAAAGCATGGAGTCAAATAAATATACACAGTTAGCATTAAATAATTCCAGGAAAAACTTTGTGTTTCTGAGAAAAAAATGCTACATTTTCTGATGCAGGCACAGCTAAAAAATAAACCAAATATTATATCCTTTTCTTACGGCAAAGAATAGCTGTCTGGAAGCTAGCAAAATTGGAATATTTCTTTCACAAATCATTGAATTATTGCATCTTGAAAATATTTGCAAGTACAGTTTAAAAAGCAGAAAGCTACAATTACCCGTCTCTTCTTCATTTCTTGTTTTCTGATGTTCTTCCATGAACAAGTGCTGTGGAAAGAATCTAACTTAAAAGGCTAAAGCATCAACCTGAAGATAAAATTCTTTCTTATTTTATGTACATAATGCTCAAAAATAACACAACTTGATCTTTACAATATTTATATTTCCTTATAAAATTCTAACCGCATTGTTTTCAACAGGTTTAGGCATTTGCAGTATACTCTGTACAGTGTGGCTATACATCAAATTTGTTTACTTAAAATGTTAAAATGTCAAACAGAAGAAAAACATCTCTCCAATATTGCTTAATGATAGGAGGGAATGAGGTCTTGTTGAACACTTTTTTCCACTTTACCTCTGACATACGGCTCCCTGCATTTAAGATTCTGGCCAGTCTAAAGAAGAGAAGCGTAGGCAATATAAACATGCATTGATAGAATCCGAACTACCTATAATGGTACAGAATACATCGTTTTACCTGCTGAAAGCTTGCACACTAAACTTATTGTGGTACATACATAATGTGCTCGGGTCATTATTCATTTGCTCAAACGTGCACCACAAGTAAAGGACTATTTACACAACAGAGGGCTCTTCATTAGACACACATATTGGCAACCCTGCTGAGAGCTGAAGATGGCTAAACTGTATTGCGGGAGAAAACAAAACAGACGTATAACGGGGTTGGGGTCTGTTCAGGACTGGTGTCGTGGAGAGGATGGCTGGAGGTCACACTGATGTAAGTGACACCACACAAGGCAAGACAAACGACCAAGACATAAAACCAGTAATTTCTGACTCCAGTTCTTTTGAGATTTAATTGTCTGTGCAAAAATAATCCATCTGTTTGGGACTAGAAAGGGGTTTAGAGTCATTTAAAGCCTTGTCTGGATGTAATGGAACAGGAATACGTTGATTAAGCACCTCAACACAGAACATTCCTTCAGCGTTAACAGAGTTGTTGAAAACCTGTTGCTCTTCCTAACTGAATGCTTTTCCCCCATGCATGATTGAGAAGTGCAGCATGCCTCCATGCAAATCATTTTGGTGTGCATATAAGAGAGTCATAGCATAGAACGCCTGGTCCTCATACTGGTAATTTACTACTTACCCCCTTCCCCAACATAAACCCCATTTACAAAAATAGTCACAATGTGTGAATAGAAACAAAGAAAAAAGTGAATCCACCAACCCAGATTTTGTAAAAAGATGACAAATATGGCAGTTGAAATGCAAACAGTAGATACATTGACTGTACTAAGAGTTGTATGCTTAACACACACGCACACACACACATACACACGCACACACCAAAAAAAAGTTAGTTTTTTCTTCCTCAATTCCTTTTACTGGTCCCTACAGTCTAATTAGCCATTTCTCTCTCCTCTTCAGCAGTGTCAGCTGGTAATGAAAACAGTAACCTCCTGTCATTCTTTCCACATTTTACAGTCATATTTTGATGATAAGGGGTTGCTGTCTTGTTAGAGGCACTGACCTTAGGAATACAGTATATTTGTAAAAACTGTCTGTTTGGCATAGACCACCTGGAGGAGTTCTATTGACACAACTACATTACTCACACAGGCTGTAAACAATTGGTCCCCCAATCGCATAGATTCTTATTTTTTCTTTTGTACATCTTTGCCTTCTTTTTCATGTTTTTCTTCAACTGGCTTGGTTACACGATCATAGGATGGTGGACAGATAGCTGTTGACATGGTCATGTCTGTTTTTTCGGTATAAGAGTTTTCATTCAACTTGTCAACGAGGAATTCGTCTTTAATACGTTGACTAGCCCCTCCTTCAATTTTATTTTTATTATATAAAAATGAAGCTTGCTTTACTGTTTGTCTCAGACGATAACGTCTGAAAGCCCGTTGGATAATGATAGCTGATAGCTCCTCTTGTTTCCTTTTTAAGGTAGTTGTGATGGGCTCATAGGAGGCTTTGGATGGATTTGACTGCATAAAGCGGTCTTCCATCTGAATGCGGAGAGCGTCCATCTCTCCACTCTCCCCCAGGACACGTTTGGTAAAAGCAAACAATATATCGAGGCAGTGAATCCTGTCACCACTCACCATGGGCAGGTCCATTGCAATAAGCTGAACCTTGTTTGGTTTGGGTAAGTGAAGAGGAGGCTCCAGAGCAGCTGCAAATTCTGAAAGTTTTTCAAATTCCATAAACTGAGTAGCATCTGGGTCAAACTTTTCCCAGACCTCATAAAACATCTCAAAATCATCCTCGCTCAAAGGCTCAGCACTTTCTTCAGTTGCCACACCAAAGTTTTCCAAAATGACAGCAATGTACATGTTTACTACAACTAAAAAGGAGATGATAATGTAGCTGACAAAGAAGAAAATCCCAACGGAAGGATTGCCACAGTCTCCCTTGACTGAGCTTCCCGGGTGGTCTTTTTTAGGGTCACAGTCTGGAGGCCCACTGTTCAGGATAGGTGCTAGCAAACCATCCCAGCCAGCAGAGGTGGTAATTTGGAAAAGGCAGATCATGCTGTTGCCAAAAGTTTCAAAGTTGAACATGTCATCAATGCCAACTTCTCTCTTCACATAGGCAAAGTTGGACATTCCAAAGATAGCGTAGATGAACATGACCAGGAAAAGGAGGAGACCAATGTTAAACAAGGCCGGAAGAGACATCATCAAGGCAAAAAGCAGGGTGCGGATCCCTTTTGCCCCCTTGATTAGACGCAGGATTCGACCTATCCTGGCAAGTCGGATCACTCTGAACAGGGTGGGGGACACAAAGTATTTCTCAATGATCTCTGCCAAAAACATACCTGTTAAAAATTAAACAAAGGAGTCAGGGAAATTGTTTGTCAGCATCAAAACCTTACCTTCTCTTATCAGAAAGTCCCTGCAGAAACTGATTTAAATTTACAAAAATTTGGATTCCAGTTTGGTTTGGGGATAGAAACAAGCTTGGTCTCCTTGATAACTGCCTTGGTAGAAGGATGGACAAGTGATTGTGCTCCTTAGTCCTGGATCATCTCAAGGATATTTGAGACTATTGACCAAAGCATTCTTCTGGATTATCTAGTTTCAGTTTGGGGTTGGGATTTGGAAGGCTCTGGCCTAGGGTAGCCTAAATCCAGTTTCAAAAGTAATACTGACAAACTTCTGCTCTCCCATTGGGATTTGGCCTGTGGGGTACTACCAAACTGTATCTTGTCTTTTGCGCTACAGTATTTAACATGTACATGAAAATGCTAGAACATCATATTTATTTAAAAACTGGAAAAAGTGTAATTCATCTACTTTGCCTGCTATTTTATCAGTTCCTTTGCTCACAAAGAGAGAATTACGTTTTCATTGCTTTGCAGAAATCAAGAATGTAGACTTGTACACTGACATTTCTTCTTTTCCTCTTCAGTACTGCCAATGTACATATGAATGTATATTAGAACAAATAAAGCTAACAAAACAAGCAGATAAAACAGGAGCTGATGCATAAAACAGAAAAAACAACAGTTAGTAAAAATGAAATCAAATTATAAGAGAAAGGGTTAAAGTAAGGGTGGGGGAGCTATCTGCATAAGCAGCTACATGATGGTTGCCACCTTCTCTGTTGACCAGAAAACCAAAAGTAATGCTAGTAGTTATTGATGACATTGTTGTAGATTCAGACATTCACAGGGATGAGGAGAATCTTCAGTTTTATGCTTCCTATTGTAGCCAAGAGCATCTGAATATTAACTTTAGGACACCCAAAATTATGTTTGTCAAAAGACTTGACTCTCACAAATGTCAAATTTGTTGAAATAATCTTGACCAAATAAAAATCTACAAATATCTGGAAGGTTGTTTTTTGGGCTACAGGCTTCTAGAAGGCCCATGCTAAGTTTGCTACAGCTAATTCCCAAACTTTATGGGTAACCTCATTTTTTCCCCCCACTCTAGAGGAAGATATTATGGATCTGCAGCTATCAAGGTATATGGTTTTGCCCCAATTAATGCAAGACTATGTTCGAGTGAATTTTTTTTCTCCTTACACAGTTTGAAAAACCCTGACATAAAACATTCCCAGTGGTACATTTCAACAGTTTCCCCACTCAGCAATGCAACAGGGAAGGTTTCGTTACATTCTGCCAAGGGAGCAACTTTGTCCTTGTGGAATGGGGGAAGTCCAAATAGTAAATCACATTCTCTTGCTTTGTTTGTACTATCATGACACCTACTCATTGCCCCCCTGATGAATCTTATAGCTGTTTACTCTTGACAGATTGGAACATAGCTAAGTTTTATACTGCTGCCTAAATGTTAACCCAAGGATCGGTTTGATAATTGTTAATTGATATTATTTACATAGATGTTGCATTCGATATAGGCAATCAGAGAACATGCTATTGATTCTCCCTTGCTACTTGTCTGATGCCATTGTACGCTATGACATGCATATCTGTATATGTACAGTATTACAGTTATTTGTCTTCTGTGAGGTATGCCTGTATCTTTATTTGTTTGATAAAGATAAATAATAAGATAGATAATAAAAATCTATGCATATGCGAAATTGCTAGAATGCATCTAGAGATCTGGATATCAAGTCACCAATGTAAATTATGATGATTGTTTAGTTTTTGTTTTAAATTTGTATGCTGCCCAGAGTCACGCGCAAGTGAGATGGGCGGCAATATAAATTCAATACCTATTAAGCCCAGATAAGCTACTGCATACTGAATGGGTACTTAGATTTAGCTTTAGACTGGATCAGGGTTAAGCTAATTCTAGATCTGGCTTTCATGAAATAGTTGGTTAGTTAATTTTATTGTTTTGGTCAGTGGCCAAAATTGAGTACAATTTTAAGAGAATTTGACATTGAAAGATGGGGACCTTATAAAAATAAAATAGGACATTAAAATTCTATGATACATAGAAGTAATTTATTAAATTACTAAAACTATTAAATAAATTACCTATTACTAAAAACAAAAACAAAAAAACACCTGGGAGCCAGTTCGGTATAGTGATTAAGGCATCAGGTTAGAAACTAGGAAACAGTGAGTTCTAGTTCCGTCTAGGCACAAAGCCAGCTGGCTCTCAGCCCTAGGAAGGAGGAATGAGCAAGCCAATTCTGAAAAACCTGATCAAGAAAACTGCAGGGACTTGTTCAGGTAGTCTCTGAGAATTGGACGCAATTGAACAAATAAAAAAAAACAACAACAAAAGCAATAACATACTTAATTTTTAAATATGGCTAAAATGTTTCTTTGGTGGCTAAAATGCTAGACTGTTAGTGCTAGGAAGACAGACATAAATAAATGAATATGAATTCATTAACTATAAATGTTATTTATTATTGTAAAATCATGATTCTACAATATTAAATGACATTGTTAGTTAATGAATTTATGTTCATTATGAATTGTTTTATATAATTATTTTATTGGGAATAAAATACTAATATCCTAACATACTGATCTATTAAATTACTGAGTGAGTATGTGTGTGTGGGGAGATATATACATAGTGTATATATACACACACACATACTCAGTAGTTTAATAAATTAATATATTAAGATGTTAGTATTTTATATACAAAGTAGTTTTATAATTTAATTAGCTTTAAGTATTTAGATTTGTTAATATTTTATTTTTTGTATTTGTATTGTTCAGTAGTCTGAACTATTTTATTAACCTCTATTAATCTTCTAGAAAATGTTTATGCATTTTAATTTGAGTCTTGTAACCTCTCCCAAAAATTGTATAAAATGCTGGTCAGTGACCGTGATACAGATGCTAGCATAAAATGACAATTTTAAAATTCAGCCCTCAAGGACTATGAGATAGTAAACAGGGAAAATTAACTATCTCATAATGAACAGCAATGGTGATTGAGCAGAATTTAGCTACTCTTCTGGCCATTATCTCTGGAGTATCTTTGTAAGGGAGGAAGAATAAGGCAGGCACCTGTTTTGCTGTGCCTGGTTGTTATAAGAGGCATGATTAAATATTTGTGGCAATTTAAATAAAAGGGGCAACAAAAGATCTGGGCTTTTATTGATTTAAGTTCCTCCAAGGCACGTGGACATAAATGATCTTGTACAGGTGTGCCACTGAATCTCCCTTTCAAAATTGCTAAGGTAAGACTATGAGTCTAGCTAATGTCAAAACTCTTTTGTGTGTTGGGAACAAAATATTGGTAAGGTATTCGGCCAACATGAAAGGTCTCCCTACCATGCTTTAGTTATAATTTTTGAAGTGAAGCTCAGATCTCACAACACACTTAGGGGGTTAGTGTGATATAATGAGTGTATTCTCCTGGTACAAGGCCTCATGGGACACCAGTGTGAGAGCCAGAACGACCAAGGTTAGATGGAAAGATCCTGAGGCCAACAGATCCATTACAGGAATTATACACATCTGTCAGTCAATCCTCTCACTGGTCTTAGTCCATTAGGACACACAGGAGGGAAAAAGATGTAAGATTTGAAGCTGCAGACTGAGATAGATGATAGATAGATAGATAGATAGATGGATGGATGGATGGATGGATGGATGGATGGATGGATAG